AGGTTTGTGGGGCCCCCAGGAACTTGGAGCCTTATGCAACTGCCTAGTATTGCCTTATGGTAAATCCCCCCCTGAGCAAAGCAGACAGCTGGTCTTCACCTCAGCAGCAGAAGAGGTGTCTGCTTCACCTTGTGGCCCATGCCGCTCTGGTTCCTGTGAAAGTAGTCGTGTGCTGGAAGTTTTTTTGAGCTGACCCACTTCCTCTGATCTTCATGTTAGTCTTGAAGTTTCTTTGATATGCTAGACGTTCAGCATTAATGGTTTTTTCTCACATTGACGGGTTTATTTTTCTCAGACCTCGTAGCGATGCAGCAATGTGAGAGATCTGTTGATGCTTGTCAGACAGTCAAAACGCTTCTTCTCCTTCATTGTGTTAAAATTGGCTGTTATGCTAATTTCTCTCAGAGAGGTTTATTCTCACATTCTCTGTCTGTGTTTTTATGTCTATAGTAGCACCTTCCTCTTTTCATTATGTCCCTCTGTGCGTCTCTCTCATTATAAATACATTAGAATATCTGTGCCTCCTCCAGAAAGTTTTAAAAAGGTGCCTAAGGGCCCCTAGGATCCGGTTTAACAAACATTAATTTGCTTCTGCAAACACAAACCTGTGTGATTAGTCGGCGTGTTGCAGGTAATCTACTCAGATTACAGCTATATGAAGTGATTTTTGTTCCATTAGTGTTTCAGGCATTTTGTAAATGGAAATTTGATGTTTTCGTTGCCTTTTCCTAAGATTTATTTTCTTTTCATATTTTTTAGACAAATTTATCCTTTTTAAATTGAGCTCTACATTTTTTTTTTTATTTATTACGTTTCACAGATCTCTCTCCACTTCCAGCTCAGACTAAAGTCTCGCTCTTGACCAATAAAAATGTTGCTAATGTCCAGCAGACCAATAGAAATGCGTCTTCCCCCCACAAGGAAAGAGGATCTAATCTGGAAGAATGTTATTCATAAAAGTCAGTCTGAAAACTTAAAAAGTTACAAAAATAATAATAATAAAAAAAGTAAAACAATATTTTTTCTTATTTTGTCTTAATGAATTGGGTTTATTTATATAGGGCCTATTCACAACACATGTCATCTCAAGGCACTTTACAGTTCACCAGATCATACAGTCAAACTGATTCAAAGTTTTCTATCTAAGGAAAACCAGTTGATTGATCTCTCACATTAAGGATGCTTGTAGCGACAGTGGAGAGGAAAAACTCCCTTTTAACAGGAAGAAACCTCCAGCAGAACCAGGCTCAGTGTGAGCGGCCATCTGCTGAGGCCGACTGGGGTTCAAGGAGACAGAAGCAGAGATACTAAAAGCAGCTGTAAAAGGCGGCCCCGTCCAGGAAACACACAGCCGGGCAGACGAGCTCTGAGCCAGCTCCCATGTCAGAGAATGAAGAGAGCACATCCAGCCAGTCACAGTCAGAGAAACAGGACTACACTGAAAAACAGGCCGATCTCCAACATCTCTAAACTATAGTGATGAGGGAAACTACGGGTTAAATGTCCAAAAGAGTTGTAATAATTAACTGTCTTTGAAGTAATCAGTAAGTCATCCTGAGACTCTGCCGCCACTCTTCCACCTCGTATGTGAAAATGTAAATAACTAGAAGGAGTTGCCTCATTTATGCTCACATAATCCTCTTGCTGCAGCCAAGTTTCTGTAAGGCAACATAAATCAATGTGTTTATCACTAATCAAGTCATTAACTAGCAGACTTTTAGAGGAAAGAGATCTTATGTTAAATAAAACACATTTAATCATTTGCACTTTTTCCCCAATTGTAGTTATTTAATTAGATTATCATGATTTACTACTGTGGGAATATTTTCTAATTTATTAGATTTTGGTCGTGGGCAAGACACTGTTTACTGTTTACTGGATGGAGTAAAGAGTGGCTAAAAGTAGAGAAGCTGCAGAAAGGTGTGTTAAACTGCTACTATAAATGATTATAAAATCATTTAAAAATAATTATAATGCAGTCTCTCTCTCCCTCTTAGAGTTCATAATGCTTTGATGAGGTGATCAGGATCTACGCCTCTATAGTTAAACCGGTTAACATTTTTTTTTTTTTAATGGGATCCAAATAAAACTCTTTGCACCTCTAAATGCACCAATCAGACCTTCCTGCCCGGACGTCTACATTTCTATTGAACAGAAGGAAAAGGTGATGTTAAAGATAGGAAGGACTTTTGCATAAAAAGCAGCTATGTTTGATTGTAGAGAACCGGTAAAATAATGATTGTTGAAAAGTTCTTGTGGAAAGCGACCTCTGATTTTCTGTTACTCTGTAACCTGAGGGTTCCTCAGTTTTACCTGAACTCACGCTGTAGAAATGATTTCCATCTGATTGTTAAGTTTGATTACGCAGGTAGGAGAAGCTGTTTCTCAGAAGGACTTTGTTTTTACCAGAACAGTTTGCTCCACAGCCGCCGGGATGCGATCAGGGTGGTTCCAGAAAATCTTTCAGGTTATAGTCCTGATATTTTATATACAACTTTATTATTTATCTATTTAATTCATAGTTTATTCATTACTCCTTCTTCCTCTACAATGTAAGTAAAAATACTCAGAGCAAAGGGCTACACATTTGTTTATATAACATACAAAGTAGAAAAAGTTTTACCTGAAAAAGTATTTTTATTAATAGTTGCCTAAATGTTCTTTCCTTGGATGTTTTTATTGCCTGTTGTGCAGCGAAAGACCTATTCTGCTCATTTTTTTATATAATTTTATTTTACTCTAATCTAATCTACTCTATTCTAGTCTCTACTACTCTGTTGTACTATTCTATAGTATTCTATTCTCTTCTTTTCTATTTTGTTCTATTATTTTTTATTCTATACTATTCTATAGTACTCTATACTATTCTGTTCTGTTATATTGTATATTCTATTCTATTATAATCTACACTATTCTATTCTATATTATTCTATTGTAATAATGTTCAATACAATTCTGTTCTATTCTAGTCTGTTCTATTCTATTGTATTCTATACTATTCTATAGTACTCTATACTATTCTGTTCTATTATATTGTATATTCTATTCTATTCTACTCTATTCTAATCTACACTATTCTTTTCTATATTATTCTATTGTAATAATGTTCAATACAATTCTTTTCTATTCTGTTCTGTTCTATTCTATGCTATTTTATTCAGTTCTATTAAGTTCTGTTCTATTCCAATATGTTCTATTCTATTCTGTTCTATTCTCTAGTGATTAATTCTATTCTGTGGATAATAAATAAGGTGGATACAAATATGTTCTATCTATGCTATCCTGTTCTGTTCTATGTTCTTTCTGTTCTATTCTAGTATGTTCTGTTTTATTCTAGTATATTCTTTCTGTTCTATTCTGGTATGTTCTCTTCTGTTCTACTCTAGTCATGGTTGGTCCTTGATTGAGTTCCCGTATGATTATCTGAACTTTGAGGCGGATCTTTCGGATTAAATCCTCCAGTTTTAGGGAGATTTTGTTGAAGTAGGTTGAAGATCAGAGCAACCTTGAATAGAAATAAAAAAGGTTCCTACGTTTGTCTGGTTTTTGGGTTTTAGTATTTCCGTCTTTGGAACCTTCTGTGTTTTTATTTTCTTTGATAGGTCTCACTCTGATTCCAAATAAGGGCAATGTGCTGTTGTTGCATTTTTATGTTTCTCCTAAATGTAATTATTCTTTGGCACCTTTAAGGTACAGCCCTTTGGGTCAAAACCATTACTTTTAAATGATCTTTTTAAATAAACTTGACTTGATTATGGGGTCTGACTTCATCGGGGTGCTTCTTTATAACTCCTATAAGCACAGGATACTTTATACTTCAGAGAAAGAGCGTCATTGATTTCCTCAGGACATTAAGTGCGTCCTCCCTGGATAAATAATGCTTCACAAACTATTAATTACCAAGTACTGTGAGCTGAAAAATGGCTGGCAAGTTTTGTACTGCATAAAGCAGACGCTTGATGCAGCAAAAAGAAAAAAGCTAAACTCTTAAAGCTCTTTAAATCACCAAAATGGTATTTCAATGTCCTAATGTGTCCACACCCTAAGGGCTGCAAAACCGAGGCGCAAACCACATTTTCTTTGTCAGCTTATGGTCTAATAGTGTTTTAGTCGGTGCTTTACGGCCGAGGATGGAGCTTTTATGGGTCGACCGGCTCCATTTGGCTGAGAGCCATCAGCCGCACTAAGGATTCGAAGTGACTGGGAGAGTCTCAGGAGGGATGGTCGACATTCCTGAAAGTGGAGATGATCAGTCACTAAATGTCCATGTTTGTCTTTTTTGTGAAACCATTTTTCACAAAAAACAGAAGAAGATTCCTGATATTTTGGCTACAGTGAAATGCTCAGAATCGCATAAATAATTTGAAATGAGTCAGAGGAGTTCATCTTGACACTGAATGTCATCTGTACTAAAGTTTTTAGTAAATTAACCCACTTAATGAAAATTGAGTTCTTAATGGTCTCAGCGTTCTAGCGCAGCTTGCTCTTCTAGCTGGTCCAACTTCACGAGACGTTTTCCACAATGATGAACGAGCCATTAAGGTACCAAACTTGAAATACGCATAGTGTAGAGCGGATGTAGATTTGACCAATCAGAGGCCTCTGATTTGGCGCTAGGGGTTTTCTTGAAACTAAAGTGCTAGAAGGGTCTGAAAAGTCGCTAAATATAGCTACAAAAGCACTAAGTTGGCAACACTGCTCTTCACACCGTTTGTTTTCAAATGGTTTGCTGCTGTCTGTTTGGATCTTTCTGAACATGTGCAGCAAATGGACTGATCCAATATGGTGGACACTGAAGGGGGGGGGGACACACTTAATATATAGGTGTTCTGATGGCATTTTGGCAAAAGGATTTTTATCAAAAACATAATTACTGTACACAAATAAGGAATAGCTATCATAACCATACATGTAAACAGAGTTTTATGGGGCCCCCAGGAACTTGGGCAACTGCCTAGAATTGCCTAATGGTAAGTCCTTCCCTGGTTGCCTGTCTGCAGGTTCCTTTATGGTCGTGAACGCCTCAGGTCGTGCTTCAGGACAGAAGGCTCACCTGTACATGCCTACCCTGAAGGAGAACGACACCCACTGCATCGACTTCCTCTACTCCCTGTCCAGTCGGGACGGAGCGAGCCCAGGGACTCTAAACGTCTACATCAAGGTGTGTAGCAGAGAAATGAAGGTGTGTGAGATTAGAGTGGATGATTAACACAGAGGGATTGACAGACTAACAGGCTGAGCAAGTAAACAAATGTGCACTCTCTCTCTCTCTCTCTCTCTCTCACTCAAGGGACGAACTAATGAACCCTGCATGATTAGATTTTCCTCCTTCACCTCATACAAAGCGGCTAGTGGGGGGTCGAGCAGACAAGCACCCCGTCAGGAACATTTTCATTTCTTTTCCATGTCTCTTCTAGGGGCGCCGTATGGGGGGCGGGGTTAGGAAGATTCCAAGGGCCCTTGACTGATGGGGGAGCCCTAAAAGAAGAAAAAACAATATGTCTCACTAGATATTTCAAATATAAAAAGCAAATGTACATAGATAAATATATTTTTGTTGTTAATAAGCTGTTATTATTTTGAGAGGAGGAATTTAAGTTAATGTATGTTTAACTATTTCATGTGAGGATAATTTTCATTCATTGAAATTGTACAGTAAGACTTACATTGAAAATGTAAACGATGCTGTTCGTTCCATCTTTATAGCAGTTTAAAGCTTGCATCATTTTTATATTTTGGAGGGGGGGAGCTAGAATGAAGCAGAATCATGAAAAGGGGGTCTTTATGTCTTCCAGCAGTCTAAGCCTATAGCAGCATAACTATAGAAATACCTTAGGGCCAACATGAGCCACCGTAAGCTTTATCTTATCTCTATCCAAAAATATTATCATGGTTTATTGCACATGAAAATTAAAAAGGAGGAGGCTTAGTTAGCAAAAAAGAAAGGTTGTATAATTGTAGCATATATTAAAAATGAATGTCAATTAAAGTTGGCAAATAAAGTTGCCATCAAAGAAAATGTATTCGATAAAAACTCATATACTGAGTTACTCATCATAACATCTGATTTACTAATTTGAATAAACACAAAAGCTCCTAATGATCTTGTAAAAGTATGTAAAAGTATAAGGGGAGTGGCAGCCTAGTGGTTAGGGGATAGGGCTTTGAATCCTGAGATTGGGAGTTTGATCCCCCACTCCCCCAGACTGCCACTCTGTGTCCATGAGCAAGACCCTTAACCCCACACTGCTCCCCGGGCGCTGCACAATGGCAGCCCACTGTTCCCCCAAGGGGATGGGTTAAATGCAGAGATAAATTTCTAATGTTCAATTTATTGTATGTCTCAACTTCCAGTCACATTAACCCAGTGGACACTTTCCAATCACTGGCTCCGCCCTTCCCCTACTCACTACTTTAATGAGTTGTTTTTTGATCTTTGATCCTATCCGGTACCCCAAATTCATCCCGATGAATTTAATGTTTATCTTCTTTTTTGTCCCTGGCTGCTCTCAGGTGAACGGAGGCGCTCAGGGAAACCCGGTCTGGAACGCTTCGGATACCGTCACTGAAGGCTGGGTGAAGGCTGAACTGGCCATTTCTACATTCTGGCCCAACTCTTACCAGGTACTCACCAGTAGCATACTGTCTCTTTGCAGCAGTGGTGATTTACGGTTGAATACTAGGGTAAAGCTTTGCGGTAAATTTCATTCAATTTTTGTTAAAATATGCAGTGCAACCTTTATAAATTAAACTGCATTACATATTCATTGAAATGTGCCTGATATCGTGAGTATGCTGCTCATTAATTCAATTAAATTCAGTTTATTTCTATAGCGCCAATTCACAACATGCGTCATCTCAAGGCACTTTACAGTTCACCAGATCATCCAGTCAGATTGATTCAGTTTCTAAGGAAAACCAGCTGATTGCATCGACTCATTGACTCGAAGGCAATCCCTCACACTAAGCATGCTTGTAGTGACAGTGGAGAGGAAAAACTCCCTTTTAACAGGAAGAAACCTCCAGCAGAACCAGGCTCAGTGTGAGCTGCCATCTGCTGAGGCCCACTGGGATTCAAGGAGACAGAAACAGAGACACAAAAAGCAGCTGTAAAAGAAAACACACAGCCAGGCAGACAAGCTCTGTCACAGTCAGAGAAACAGGACTACAGCCTGCTACTTGATGCTGATTGGTTGACACACTTAAGGATTTTTGACTGACAGTGGCCAGACATCGAGGAGCTTTTCCTCATGAGGGACAGCTGATCATTCAGTAGGAACAGTCGTATTGTGCTGAACCCTTGCTGTGGTTTCTGAAGTTTATTTTTTCAAAGCGCATCACAGCAGTTATTTTCACCCCCTGTAGTGATCAGTTTAATGTGGTTCAACATTTCTTAATGCAGTGCTTGACTTTTGGATTTAATTAACACCTTTGAGCCTCCCCTGTTTCAGAGAGCAGGAGCCACCACTGGTTTGTAGTAAAGCTTCTAGAAACCTTCAGAGCCTCAGGACTGAAAAAAGGATCCTGAGATACACTTTAAAAATTTATACTAATTTCGTTCAGTCTAGAGTGTTGGCATTGAAGTGATGCATTAAGGTAAGATCACAGTTTTTAGCAACCCTAAGTAGCAGTAGAGCCTGGTCTGCTGTACTGCTGTGAGTCCAGACACTGAACTGTTCCCTTAATGACCTCGAGTCTTGCTGTGTATCTCCTTGTTTATTGGTCTATTAAGGTGCAGCACCGTGCAGTTCTGGGAATCAGTGCAGTAACACTGCAGTGATTTTGTTTTAGGTAATGACCTGAGTGAAGAAAAAAGCATCAGATACTAAAGTGAATCACAGGCTTTATTCTGCGTGTCTCAGAACTTCCTAATTATGTGTGACCTCCCAGGGAGAGATCAGACCTCCTTTTCTAAAACCGCCATCAGTTAAAAGTGAAACTCTTTACAGAAAACAAACCTGCAAGAACACAATAAATGGTAATAAGTAGAATAAGAATCTGACTTAAATGTAACTATAACTGTAGCTAATATTAAGCTCTTCCTACTTCTCTCTGTTTTTTATTTATAAAGAAACTATTTACTAATATGATGATGCCAGAAACTAAATTTCAAGATATGTAGAAGCTCTGCAGTCTGATTCTGCAGTCTAAAAAACTATAATAGAAATTTGAAAGAACAAAAAAAAAGAAAAAGGAAAACTAAATTAGAACATAAATTCTGAGAAAGCAGATCCCTCTAAAACCTTTTTAAAACTTTTTTCCAAGGTTCATTTCTGGATTGCTTTTTTTCTTTTCAAGTTTCTGTTGATTAAACATGTTCTTTCCTTGAAACTGTAATGGAACAACATTTACTTATTATTTACACCCCTAATAGGAACCAGAAACATCTTTTTTCATTCACATCATGCATTGTGTGAAATGAGCTTTTTGTTTTCTTAGAAAAATGCTCTTGGTATTCAGAAAGAGTGAAGCTTTATCCACAGAAATCAATGCACATCTGACTGAGGTTTAAGGGTTTATTCATGTTTGTATGTTTTGGTTTAAGAGTGCATGGCCTCTTAACATTCAGCTGACCTCATATCAACCTTTTAAAGGTCTTCTCTAAGAATATGAGCTATGGCTTCTTTTGAAAATAAATCAAGAATGGTACAAAGAGACAGATAGAGAAGGAAAAAAAATAAAGCAAAAGCAAGGGTGCGATGAGAAATGGAAGATGGATGAGAAGAAAAGAGCGGGAAAGTGACAGCATATGTGGTTGGCATACGGATAGAGACAGAAGTGATGAAGTGAAAAGAGGAATAGTTGCTGACTTTTGGTGGAAGATTCCCCTGGGCTCCCCAGATGAGCTTCTCCACAGCGATGTCAAGATGCAGCGGTCTGTGAAAGAGAGAAGTTTTTATTTCACTCTCTCTCTCTCTCTCTTCTGTATTTTCATTCTCAGGTCATATTCGAGGCGGTTTCGGTCCAAGGCCATCCAGGTTTCATCGCCATCGACGACATACGAGTCCTGGCTCATCCTTGCCGTAAGTGAAACCGTGGTTCTACCGTGTAAAACTGTAACCCTGCTGAGCATCATCTGTTTTATAGCTGCCCTGCACGCTCACACACACATAGATGGTGAGGACTGCAGACAGATTGCAGGGGACCAGAGGAAGGGCCAAACTCAGGGTCTTCATCACTCAAATCTGACAGAAACACTTTGCTTCGCAGAAAGCAGCCTTTAAAAAAAAAACCTTTTCCTTTGCTGCTTCCTTTAGCTATTTTTACCAAACAGTAGAATTGATCTAAATGAGAAAGTTTCACCTGCTTTAACCTGAATTCCAAAAAAGTAACAAAAAAAACCCCCAGTCCATTGGACTTTGTTTCCAAGTTTCAATAGTTTTGCTTCCATCCAGAAAGCTTTTCCAATTCAAATGTTAGAAATAGCGTTGAGTTGCTTTATACATTATCTTAACAAAGCCTGGTTTTTGTTTAAGCTGGGCTTACACTGTATGATTTTTTGCCCTTTTCGGGTGACATTCTAGTCATGCGAGAATTTTTCGATTGGCGACTTTCAGCCTGATCGTGCTTCGTGTAGTGTACAGTGATCAGCCTCTCATGTTTAAAATTCAGTCGGCCTTTGTAAGGTGATCGTGGGAAAATTGCTCAGTGCGCAAACAAGGATTCTTCTTCTTCTATATCTCATTTAGATGAAAACCCAGAAGCATGGTGGAAGTGCGAGTAAAATGTAGTTCTTTCTGTAAAATTGACAGACCGTAGTAGCCACATTTGCTTAGCCATGTCTTTGTCTAAATTCGTCATAGGCTTTCCTTTTAGGGCTTTCAGCACAAAATTGCCAAGGAAGCACGTTTAACTCTAGTGACCTTCTTATTCCTCTTCTACTTGTTTGGCTTCCGAATAGACGAGTCTGAGTAGCGCCATCTCACTGCGGCGCTGACTCCCACATGGTTTTTAGACGTACAGTGTGAGCAGGAAGATCACATCAGACCGTTGGCTGTAGCTGCATGCAAGGATTGAAAAAATCTTACAGTTTATGCCCGGCTTTACACTTCATGCTAATTGAACCGGACAAACCAGTCAACCCCTTTGGAATGGGGGTCGTTTTGCTTGTTTTGATAGCCTGTAATACCCCCATACCTGTCTATGTCTCTGAAAGGGGGTTGTTAAAGGGACTTGTTGGCCTGGCTGAATAGGCGGGTCTTCTCTTCCCCTGTAAAGGGGTTGGAGTTGCATGATAGCGGGAAGGGGTTAACACAATGGCTGCTTATGTCTGACATATGCAGGGGTGGACCTATTCTTCCGTTTCAATTTGCATGTTTTCAATACAAAAACAAGGCTTTGGTAGGCAACTGTAGAAAGCAATTTTTGAGATTTTGAATTGAAAAAGCTTCCTGGATGGGAAGCGAAACATCTTCAAACTTGGAAACAAAGTCCCAAGTTTGCTTTTTTACTTTTTGGAATGACTATTACCCGAATGACTGAAAATCTTCACCAGCATGTAATCCCAATTGTTCAGCTTTTTATCTGAATGTTTGGCCCAAATAAATGTCCAAAAAAATCCCAATAAAGAATCAATATGGAGGCAAAAGATGAATTCTGAAAGCTTATAAGGGCAACCTTGATGTTTGAGTCCTTGTCATTCTCATTGTTAAATGAATGATGGCTCCTTACTCGGTTGGGTTGATCTGTTTCTACAGACAGTCAAATGAAATTAAGCAGTCGCAGGCAACGCTCCAAAGTCACCACAATGTCAGGCTGCCTGTCGCGCTGACAGAGCAGCTGTGCCTCGATTCTCATGACAATATCTAGCTCTATAGATGTGTTTCAGATCTGCTCATCATTTTATAGACACCTGTTCACACAAGTAGTGTGACTTTGCAGCAACTCAATTCATGTACATTTCTACGGCTTCAATCCATTTGCTTTATATAGAAGTTTTAAAATGTCTGTAAAGTAACGACATCCGTGTGAATGTATGATCCGTTTGATTATGTTCAATGCTTTTTTTTTTCTTCTTTTTTTCTTTTACATGTGTTGCAGGTAAAGCTCCTCATTTCCTGCGGCTGCAGAATGTGGAGGTGAATGTGGGGCAAAATGCTACGTTTCAGTGTACGGCTGGAGGGAAGTGGTCTCAGCACGATAAACTCTGGCTGCAGGTTTGTACACAGCACACCTCATGGTTTAATGATGGAAATGTGGCGCATTTTATAAGAAGGAAATGTCATGTGTATTCCCAGTATAACTCAGTCCAGTCCGGTCTGGTCTACTGCAGGGTATCCTAACGGTGATCCAGTTTAAAGGAAAGTCCGATCAGCAAGGAATAAGCAAGGGATCATTATTTATACCAAAAACTAATACATTCTCGTTATTTTATGAATTTAGTCTGGGAGCGGCCATCTTTTAACCTGACTCCCCCAGATGTATTTGCTCCGCATATCCATCTGGAAACCTTCCGTTGAAGTAATTTTGGGAAGGGGCGAAAATACTGGTTAGCTGATTGGCCTATGTTGGTGATAGACGGGCCAAATAAACCAATCAGATCAACGAAGCATATGACGTGCTAACAGAGCGACGACGAAAACACAACCACAAGCCAGGCTACTCTTGCCGAAACCAGTCGGGAGAAGAGCAAAAACATCTTTTCCTCTGAGAAAAGCCTCCAGAGCAGTGTTTTGCTCTTCTTTCAGTGAACAAATACTCTGTAATTCCGATAAAACTTGCTCGATAGCCACGCTAACACTAGTTTCATCGGCTGAAGCCGCCATGTTCTTTAGACTGAACTGTCGCGCTTCTCATTGCGTCACATCTCAACCCGCCTCAAAGCCAACGCTGATTGGACGTTCGTTTGGTGAACGGCTCCAAATTTTCTTCAACTGAGAGTCTCCAGACTGATTAGCGAGTGAAATCTTGAAAGCTAGCGAGATCAGGATGGTCTCACGAGGCTAGTCATCTTTGCCCAAATATAGTACCACCTCCTTCCTGCCATCTTCCAGCAGTAACGTCACGGTGCGGTAAGCCTAGCGCCATTCTCCCCGCTTTACAAGCTAAATCAATGGGAACTACTAGACACATCTGCAATCAACAACAATTATTGAAGATTTCCAGAGGACTTCACCATTGAATTTCACCAGAGCTATAGTGAAACTCAACGCCCACGTGCATGGCAGCTGGATGTTGGAATGCATCCTATAAAAGTGATAGAAAAAAAAAATAAAGGGTTATTTCACCTTTCTGATTCCTGATCCTCCACGGACGGGTTGGTCGTTGGATCGCCAACTTGAAGAGGGAGGATTTGCCATCGAACTTCTTGCCAGAGAAAAAACCCGTAATATGTAGCCAACATTTGGAAGAAGAATGTTTTCAAGATGACTTGGATAATAGCGCGTTGTGACAAACACCAGATACAGCACTGGGACTTGATCAACAGCCGATACTGCACAAACCAGTAGGTGGCAGTAGTGTTCTTTGACAAACATGGATGCCTCCAGTTAAGCACTTTCAAATGAAAATTACTCTTAACTAAAAAACCTTTATTTTTTTAACAGTATGTAATAATTTCATATTTAAAGTACTTTCAGAAGTTTGAATTCTGAATATGAACGGAATTTTCCTTTAAACCTGACATCCTGTGCTAACGTGTTTATAATCACAGAGCTGATTTTCAAAGAACGTCCAAAGGGAATTGTGTTTGAAATTCAGCTGACATGCAAACCTTTTCCTCCATTTGTACTTTCTTTAATATGCAGATCATGATTTATGGATATATGATTGCAAATGGAAACATTTACCACGTGCAAAGCAATATATACCAAACCAGAAACTCAACCACTGCTGTAGGATTTGCATATTTTTTACTTCTTCTAGTAGTAAGGAGCAAACTGACACCAAAATATCAGCAGTTATTGTTGGTAAAACAACAGAGGAAGGAGAGATGCTCTACATGTAAACAGATTTGGTGAAATCCCTGTATTAATCTTAATAAAGGAGAAATGATAGACATCCACCTTGTTGAGATCACAGGTGTTTTCACCTGCAGCAAGGAGCTCAACAGACAGAGCTAAGTCTGTATGCAACCTCTCCAGATGGAGCCCAGGTTGAACTAGCTAATAAAAAACATGTTTTCCTTTTAATCCGTAGCTGCAAAGCAAACATCCTCTTCATTGCCATACAGTGTCTATTACCAGGAACCCCCACAGATTTACAGCCCCTAGTGGATTAGCATCTGGAGGGTGCCTGTCTAAACAGAAGAAATCTTCACGTAAAATATCGCATTGTTTATATGGAAGCTTGTTTCTGCCACATAAAAGTAAAAAAAATACCAAGATTCCGAGATTCAAAGTCATAATTATGAGTTAGAAAGTAATAATTTCACTTTCAAAGTCATAATTATGAGATAATCAACTTTCAAACTTTGCATCATAAATATGACTTTGAAATCCGAAAGTATGATTTTTACAATTTTTTTTATTGTCGTATGGCGGAAACAGGCTTCCATAGTTTATTTTATTTTTTTTTTTAACGATTTAACTGTTTATTAGGGTTTTTCCCAGTTGTTTACATACACAATGTACATGAACACTTACCATTCAACATAACGTAACATAAAACCTTTGCTTGGGAGTTCTATTTCACCTTTGTCCCATCTGGTTTATCTAGGTTTTTATTTTTTGTTGCTGTCTTTTATCTTCAATGTTGTCCATTTCATCCACTTTCCTTCCAATTTTTGCTGAAGTTTCAAACAATGTCAGTTTTTCCATAATGTAGATTTCTTCTATTATTTCAGTCCATTGTTCTTCACAAGGAGATCAGCCTTTCTCCATTCCCTCATAATAACTTTCTTTCTAGCTCTTAATATTATCTTAATGAGAAATCTGTCTTTTACCCTTGCTTTAGTGTTATTGAAATTGCAAAGATATAGTACCACTCAACTCATAGTAATATCATATCCCAGAATCTTCTTCACAGTTTCATGTACATTTTTCCAAAATCTAACAATTTTAGGACAGGTCCAAAATATGTGAGAATGATCGGCTCTCATTGATCCACAATTACGCCAGCACCCCATGTTTGTGTCCAGATATCTATTCTTGACTTTAGGCGTGATGAAAAATCGTATTAGATTTTTCCGTGTGAACTCTTTCCGTATCTGTGAATTGATGGATGTCTGATGTGTTTTCCACATATCTAGCCAGCCTTCATCTGAAATTTTCCCATTAAGCTCTGATTCTCACCTGGCCTTTTAGTTTTAACTTCTAAAAGCACGGTTATGTCTTTTCTTATTTACTTTGTTCACAGCACTTTGAACACATGATAGCTATGTGAGGTTCACTATAAATATTATTTACTGTTAATATCTTTTCATTAACTATGATTATTAGCTCCAACTATGGCTTTGGAAATTATTTTTCTTTAATGGCTCTTTTCAACCGATGCAGTCTTAACATTTGCAAAGGGATAATCATAGAGCTTCTGGAACATGTCCACTTGTAAAAAAAAAATGTACACATGCAATTTAGCTCCCCTTATATGGAATCATTGAAGATCAGGCCCTAAGTCTGTAATCTAAATTTTAAATATTGCGTTTTAATCAATACAACAGAACATTGTCCATTTAATTCACCGATATGCAAGACAGAAAAGAAAAAAATCTATTAAAATGTTTTTGAAGACCTAAAATATATTATCTTATTCAGCTTTATTTTAGCTGCTTTATTAAAAACCAAATAGTCCTCCAGGTTTTGACGACTGATGAAACTAAATCTTGTTTTTCTTTGCATCAGTGACTCCATCTCTGCACCAGTGTCTGTGTGTTTGTCAACACGAATTTGCTGAGTGTAGTCATGGAAATGTATTAATTTCACTCTACATTCACATAGAGGTTTGCATTATTGTAACAGCAGAATGCTTTTCCCAGGAGAACCTTCGCTGTAGGTGAAAGTAATGACATTTAGAAAAAGGGAGCAGTAAGTTTCCCAGCAGAGGGTCTGCGGAGGAAAAAGCATCACATCCCAAAGGCTCCGTCTGAATTGTAGTAGAGAGATTTAATCTGGAGAGTAGAACTGGTTATCTTTTTAGTCTCTATTGATTCTGTTTCCTTATAAATGACTTTGTTTTCATTTCACGATGCAGAAAGTCTTAAAATGGAGAAATGCATTGCCTGTTTTATTAAAACAACAAAGGGTGCAGAGAACAACATGCTGACACTGATGGTTGGGTTTCAGTTATTCATGATAGATTAATTAATTGATTAACCGCTTAAAGCCCACCGGGTCGCCGGCGACCCAGCGGGCTTGACATGATGTAGAACAAATATAATGCAATAAAACCTGCCTTTTCTCAAGAATGTCTTTATTACTGCTGTTCAAAAAAGTCCTATCATTTCCGAGAATAAAAAACAACTTTGAGAGATGTTTGAACTGATGCAGGTTGGTCTGTGCTCTAGTCACCCAATTTTAATTTATATATTAGGGGACTAGCGGGAGTTGGCTTTCAAATAATGTATTGCACATGCAATTTGGGCTTACAGTTCCTAAGTTATTTGCTTTTCCTTTTGGGTATGCAAAATAGGTGAGAATTACCCAAAATGAGCTGGATGTTAAGAGGTTAATTAATTAAAGTAGAAAACCTTGAGCAAAAATGTCTGATATGGATGGAGTTTGGTCCACATGCAGAGCAGTTTCAGGTACCCATTCAAAATTGCCCTTCCCAGTGAAAAGCCAGCCGAATGGCAGCAAAATCCCCTCCAACTTCCAGCCACTGGCCTTTTTATTGGCGTGCATATTTTTTTACTCTGACTCCACCCTTTCAGTGAATTACAGGGTCTTACCAGGAGATGATGCTTCTCTTTAGATCTTAATGTCCACAAATCAAGATGGAAAGAATATTTTAGTACAAAGATTGATGTTTAAAAAGGAATTCTAGGGGACCAGCCAAGGACCCATCAAGGAAAGTGGGAAATTTTGAATGCCTACTACTGTAGATGAAAATGGGAACCGCTAGTTATCATTGGTGACATCAAGACCAAAGCTGGTTATTTTCCTGTTAGTCTAACCGATCCCTAAGCCAGCTGCTGTTGTTTTGTTTGGAACTGTTCTTTAGGCCAGTTTTCACTTATCACTTATAAAAATGACTCAATGACAACAAATATTTGCAAATCCAAGAGGTAAATAAAACATTTTTAGGTAAAATACAATTTTTTAAACGTTTAACTGGATCAGAAATAGGGCTGCTCAGTGAAGCAGTGGGTAGCACTGCTGCCTTGAAGCAAGAAGGTTCCGGGTTATATTCCCGGCCTGGGGTCTTTCTGCATGGAGTGTTAATGTTCTTCCTGAGCATGCGTGGGTTCTCTCTGGGTACTCCGGCTTCCTCCCACAGTCCAAGAACATGACTGTTAGGTTAAACGGTTTCTCTAAATCCTCCTTAAGTGTGAGTGTGTGCATGAATGGTTGTTGATTGTCACTGTGTTGCCCTGTGATGGACTGGTGACCTGTCCAGGGTGGACCCACCTCTCACCCGTAGACAGCTGGAGATAGGCACCAGCACCCCTGGCGAACCTGCTTGGGATAAGTGTGACGGAAAATAGATGGATGGATGTTTTCATTGGGAGCATTTGCCTCTCATGTTGCAGTATTTCAGTCTGTGTAGATAGAAAACATTCCATTGGTGTTAAACGGCGTTCATGTGTCTGTTTGAGCACAATGACTTGGATTAAAGAGGATTGAAAATTTCTTCTGTTTCCCATCTTTCAGCAATGGAACGGTAAAGACACGGCGCTGATGGTGACCAGGGTGGTGAACCACCGACGCTTCTCTGCAACTGTGAGCGTCGGTGACACATCGCAGCGCAGCACCAGCCGTTATCGCTGCGTCATCCGATCTGACGGCGGATCGGGAGTGTCCAACTATGCCGACCTGATCGTTAAAG